GATCCTGAATTATCTGAAACAACCAATATTCAAATCATATGTAAAAATAAAGTAAATGTATTTTTGGTTATTGTACTTTTCAGTAATTGATTTTTCTAAAATTTCCACTCAGCCTTTGCTTGAATGGGTAGGGGTGGAAAGACAGAGTTTTTTTGAGGTGTCTGGCCGGAGTAGAGTGGTTATTGTCTCGTGAGGCTGCCCCTCTCCTGGTCCTTTGTCTAAAGAGAATAAGCTGCTATTCGGCTTTTATTTCTCTGCACACATGGGCATTTCCAAGTTGTACTTCCTCAGCTTCGAGTCTTGGACATACGAGGTAAAAGAAAGCCCAGGAAACTTACCTGGTGTCTGTCCTTCCTCAGGTTGCGAGATTCCTAGCTTGTCTACCTTCTCTCCACTTCCCAGAGTCATCTTATATAAGTTTTATATATAATGTGCAGAATTTTACTTGTATTTAGCAGGAAGAATCGGGAAAGTACATCAGTTTCATCTTCCCAGAGGAAACATGGCTTCCAATGGCTGTGTAATCTTCCATCTTGTGAATATACCCAAATATTTAGGTAAAATAAATTTCTTTTAAATGTGAAGCCTTATGGTGAGTTAAATGAACTTCACAAGTATAGAATATTCTTGGTGAAAAAAGCATGGAGATTCTAGGTGACCACAAGTTTAACATACATTCTAACTTTCAGAAACGCTAACATAAATCTTAGATTATGCCAAATCATGTAAATGGAGAGTTAGAAGATGCCTGGGAATTAATGTGGTCTAGACCCTGCCCATTTTAGGATTTCTGTCTGCAGCATTCTTGACTGATGGCCATCATTCATTCATCAGATACCAGTATGCCAGTTTCTATACTGGACACTTGAAATACAGAGATCCTTTTCTCATGAGACTTAAATATGTGAAAGAAGACACATGTTAAACAAATGACAGAATGCTTGGGAGTACTTAAAACCCAGACCTAGCTTATCTGAGAGGTCAGGAAGTGCCGTTGAAGGAAGCAACATTTAAACTGAGTGTTGATGGATAAGCAAGAGTTATGTAGGTTTGTGGGAATCAGGGGACAATATAATAATACACAGGACACTTTTAAGTAGTGCAGACTGTAAGCGTTTGGAGAATGTGAATATCTGTAATGATGGGGTCTCACTGCTTCACAAGATTAACTTCTCCCTTATGAAGGCTGCCTTCCTGTGACTTTTGCCACTGATTTCACTTTGTTTTTGATGCAACAGAGACTGAATCTGTTCTTCTACAAGAGATCCTTCCTAATATTTGTTAATCTGCTCCTTTCCAGGTAAAACATTTTTTATCCCTGCCACAGCTAGACTATCGGCATCCATTGTGGATAAGCTCCAGTTAGGTGATGGGGAGCTGAGAACTGAACACGACTTTCCAGAGATTGTCTAATTAGTGAAAAATACTGAGTGTTCTGTTATTTTCCATCATTAGACACTAGACTCTTACTAATGCAACCTGCAATTGCAATAGCTTTTTTTCCCAGCAGCTCATAAAAAATAGAAGTATAATTAATAGAAGCTCCTTGAAATCATTACTTCTGAAGTACCTTTTTTCTGAAATAGCCTTGATCTCTCCTTTTTTTTTTTTTGTCAAATATTTGCTGTCTGTAGCTCAAACCTTCCTTTTGACAAGACCAAAGCCGTCATCATCTTTCTAAGCTCCCAAGTTAACCAAGTGTATCCGTTTGCTCAGCATAGACCTCGTGAAGCACACACAGCCATTCTCACGATCTCTGGCTTCCTCAAATCCTTGTTGCCTGCCCTGCATCGAAACTTCCGCTGTCACCAATCCTCTTGACAGCTGTGTTCAAAGGACCTGCTGAGAAAGGACAGTCTGCTTAGTATATGAGACCACAGTCTCAGAGGGAAGTGTCCAAGAGAGGACCGCTGAGGGAATGGTGGAGCCTGTCTCTTACCACCAGTCTCTCTTCCACTGGCGCACATCTGGGGTGTATTGATGTGTGTTAGAGGGGCTGTAGAAACTCTCTGAGGCCTGAATGATAGTAAACTAACCATTTTCTCTAACCTACAGGCTATAAAGTTTGCCATCTCTCTTTAAGAATTAAATAATCACAGGTCCCTTAGCATCCTATTTAATTAAACTTTGGATGAAGCAAGTCTTCTAACATTAGAAAGCTGTTTGGGGAGACAAAATAATAGAGTTGTAGGTGATTATTGAGACATCTACTTTCATTTTACAGATGAGGAAACTAAGGCTTGAGCTAATAAAATCACTTACTCAAGATTACATATATAACCTGTTGCTGAGCTCAGACTTGAACTTGAGTCCTTTGAAAGAGAAATCCATTGAGATTGCTTAAGTCTTTTTTTCTGCATGCAAATATCCCTCTGGACACCATGATCTGTGTTTTGAAATTCTTTTCCCCATTTGGCTTCTATTTCTATTCTCTACCATAGCACATTTAGCCATTTGATTAAACAAATATGTCTTAGATGTTTATACCTTCTAGGCCCAGTGGGTGACACAAAGATGGTGCATCAAGATGCATGCCTTCCCATTGCTTACAGTCTAGTGGGGAAGACAGCTGGATGTGCTGTAACTACAAAACTAGATGGGAAGTGATATGAGCTCTATTAGAAGTACAAAATGCTATGTTTGTCAAGAGTAAGGAGTAAGATGATGAGGAACAGGGCGGAAAAAAACTACGTGAAAGATACAGTGTTATAGCTAGACCTTGAGAGATTGAAGATAAAGGTCTCTGTTTCCAAATGGAGTTAGGAAAGCATAGGGCAGGTTTGGGGAATAAGAGATGATCCAGTTTGAAGTACAGGGAGAAAGAGGAGGACGAGACTAAGAAGTTGGTGGAGGACCGATCAGAAACTTTTAATATCAATTTAACACAAAGAGTGTGAACTTTGGGAATTTGGCAGTGGGGAAACAACAGACTTTTGAACTGGGGCTTTAAAAAGATAAATATGCAGAGTGTATAATGTTGCTAGGGAGACAGAAGACTTGCAATAGTTAAGTCAAGACAGTGTTAGCAATGAAAATGGCAAGGAAGTGACAGGTGTAAGAAATATGATAGAGGTGACTTCCACAAGCAAAGGGAGAAGAAAGCAGCAGAGGTTAACACCAGGCTTTCAACCCAACCCAAATGTCTGAGACTGGTGTGCTCCTTTCATCACTAAAAGTTTAAGAGAAGGAAGAGTTTAGGTGGGAATAAGAGGGTTTCCTGTTGCACGTGTTGAACCTGAGATTCCAATAGGACATTCAGCTGGAAGAGTCTAGAGCTAATTGGAAATGCAGGTCTGGAAGTGCAGATGAAAGGGTGGTTGATTTTGCTCAGTCGGGGGGAAGGAAAAAGGAAGAGTGCCCAGACAGGATCTGGGGGATTACGGTGGCAGGCTGGAGTGGGAGCAGCGGGGAGGAGAGGAGGAGATGGTGGAAGAGAGATCAGTTAAGAACCTGCGATATGTGGTGTATGGGAGCCAAAGCAGTAAGAGTTTCAGGAAAGAAGAGACAGCCCCGTTTTTACTACTGCAGGGGGGCTAACGACCATGAACACTGAGGAGTGAAGACTCCTGGTCTTCACTTAAAATTCTTTCTGATTTTGTTGGTTTTAGTTTTAGGGGATAGCTTCTTATGTTTCTGCAGAATAACAGGTCCTTACATTCCTGGTCCAGGTATCTATGCTTAGAAAACTATAGATACTTTATACCTGATGTGTATAAGATGTCTTTATTTTACTACATATCCAGCGTGAGTCTGAATACATACTGGAATTCTTTGAAAAGAATGTATAATACATGGCCTCTGTTACTGAGACCCCAAATCTGTCAGCGACGCTTCTTACCCATTCAACCTTAGTGTGCTCTGTACTTCATGCTGCTTCTTCCCAGAACTGCAGATATGCCCCCAGAGGTGAGTTGCCATTTCTAATGAAAACATCAAAGAAGGACGATCAGAATGAATGTAAGGAAGGAAGGGAGAAGGTGCTTATACATTGTTTTCCAGGTACCACGTAGGTGCTTTGCCTTCATTCTCTCATTTAATCTTCACAATAACTCTATGGAGTACGTAGTATTAGCCCCATTTTACAGATGAGGAAACAGACACAGAGAGGTTAAGTGACTTGCCCAAGATCACACAGCTAGTGAGTGTAAACCAGATCTAACTCCAGAGCCTGTGCTCTTTTCCACTACGCTACAATGAGGTTTTGAATTTGGAGTTCTGAAGTTGGTGCGCAGACCCCAGAGTTACAGGGAAGCTCTCTCCCTAGCATCCTGGGGAAAGCCAGCTTTGGAATGTGATCTATAAATTGCTATACCTATTGCCGATATTTGTGTCATTTTTGCCTTAAGTTCTTTTCACCGTTGAAGTTCATCCTATGAAGAACTTTATATAATTTGTGTTCTTTTAAGATCTACTAACAACAATTAAAGATTGATTGCCTCCGGGGAGTGGCCCTGGAGGTGAAGAGGGGCAGGAAGCTGTTGTTTCCATTATGTCTTTCAATACCAACACATTTTTTTTTGGTCATGTTACTTTGATTTTATAGAAAGTCCCCCCAAAACCACCAGATACTAAGATACAACAGCAAATACTGTGAAAACACAAAAGTTTGCTAAGTTAATGACTGTGAGATATATTGTTATGAGATTACAAAACTCCCCAGCTTGCTATTTCAGATTTTGTGCCTCTGCTCTTTTATGCGAAGGTTCGTAATGAGTTTTACAAGGACACACAAGGTGTGATACTGGTCTATGATGTTGGGCAGAAAGACTCCTTTGATGCCCTTGATGCATGGCTGGCAGAAATGAAGCAAGATCTTGGACCTCACGGAAACATGGAAAATATTGTATTTGTAGTGTGTGCCAACAAGGTAACTGCTTTGGAAATGGTATGCTCAACTTTCTAG